TGAACTATTGTCACAGTAAATCTGAGTAGATTCATCCTCCGTAAAATGCAGCTATTTAAGAATTTTCTTTAGCCATATAGCTTGACAAGCACAAGTTGTTGCAGCAACAAATTCAGCTTCAGTGGATGATAATGTAACACTAGGTTGCTTATTTGATGACCATGAAACAGCTCATTCCCCATCATGAAAACATACCCAGTGCTTTTTCGATCATCCGAATCTCCTGCATAATCACTATCCGTAAATCCAAACAGATCTGACTTTTCTCCACTCTTGTAGAACAGCTCATTGTCCTTAGTACCTTGCAAGTAACGAAAAATTCTTTTTGCAGCCAATAGATGAATCTCTGTGGGCCATTCCATGTACATGTTAATCACAATTATAACATGCATTATATCAGGTCTTGTTGCTATCAAATACATTAAACTCTCCACTATTTATTTGTAAATAGTGTCATCAACCTTCTTTCCGCCATCATTTTTGTTTAACTTCATACCAAATTCGGATGGAGTATTCACAGGATTGCAATCCTTCATTTGAAACATGTCAAAGATTTCTCGAACATACTTCTTTTGAGAAATAAAAATTTCAGTAGAAGATTGCACCACTTCAATGCCAATAAAGTAATGCATCATGCCAAGATCAGACATCTCAAATTCAGTCATCATGGATTTCTTAAAACTTTCAAACATGGCTGTATTATTTCCAGTGTAGATCAAATCATCTAGATATAAACAAACAATGAGTATTTTCCTCCATCTTCAGTCTTTGTAAAAAGTGTATGTTCATAAGGACATTTTTGAAATCCTTCCTTCAAAAAATAAGTTTCTATATGATTATACCAAGCCCGTGGAATTTGTTTTAATCCATATAGAGTTTTCTTTAACTTATACACTTTGTGCTCATTGCCAAGCTTTACATAACCAGGAGGTTGATCGATAAATACCTCTTCTCACAAATCTCTATGGAGAAATGTTGATTTCACGTCCAACTGGAAGATAGGCCATGAGTTTTGAGTTGCCATAGAAATCACCAATTTGATTATATCATGCCTTATAACAGGAGCAAAGACTTCTTTATAATCAACACCAAACTCCTGCTTGTAGCCCTTAGCTACCAAGCGTGCCTTGTGTTTATCAACCTCACCATTCTTCTTCAGCTTTGTCTTGTAAACCCACTTTACACCAATTAACTTTTGTCCTTTTGAAAGATCACATAGCTCCCATGTGCCATTTCTTTCAATGGCTGTAATTTCAGCGTCCATAGCCTTTTTCCATTTTGGTTCTTTGACAGGCACTTCAAAGATGGTAAGATCACAATCTGAAAATAGAGCAAAGTGTGTAAGTGGGTCGTCACCTTGGCCAACTCAAGTTACCTTATAATCAATCATCCATGTTGGTCTCCTTCAAACACGTTGAGGTCTTTGTGATTCAGCTGTAAGTGGGCTTTGATTAGTTGGGAATATTTGAGTGACTTCATCTTATTGCTCTTTTTCCATAGGCTGCTTCCCTTTCTCCTCATCATCAAAATCAGTTGGAATACTTTCTTTAACACCATTTTGATTCCATGACCAGATTCATTTTTCATCAAATACCACATCACGACTGATGACAATCTTCATGGTGCTAGGATTGTACAGTTTATAAGCTTTTAACTTATCATTAACACCAAGAAAAATATATTTTTCTCCCTTGTTGTCCAGCTTCCTCCTCTTCTCATCTGGAATATGGGCATAGGCAATACACTCAAAAATTCGGAAATGATCTATAGTAGGTTTTCTTCCGCTCTATGCTTTCTCTGGTGTCAGATTTTTAACAGCGGGTGTATGACTTCTGTTCAATAAATGAGTGCTCCAATTAATTGCTTCAGGACAGAAATTTTTTGGAATGCCACTTGTTGTCAAAAGGCTACATACCATATTCATAATAGTGTGATTTTTCCTCTCGCATGCACCATTTTGTTGGGGTGTATAAGCTGCTGTAAGTTGTCTCTTGATTCCATGGTTCTCACAAAAATTTACAAATTCATGTGAGTTATATTTTCCACCATGATTCGTGCGAAGAACTCATATTGGGTTGCCAACTTCTTTCTCAACAGACACTTTATAGGTTTTAAAAGCTATAAAGGCTTCAAATTTTTCTTGCAAAAAATAAACCCAAATCCTACGACTATAATCATCAACAAAGGTAATTATATATCTTTTACCTCCAATAGAATATGGTGTTATTGGCCCACAAATGTCGGAATGAACAAAGCTCAAATGTTTTCTTCGCTCTCCAAGATTTTCCTTGTGGGAATTGATTAAGATGTTGTTTTATAACAACACATTCTTGACAAACTTGAGAAGATACTGTAATTTGAGGAAGCCCCGTCACCATGCCTTTTTGTTGTAGTGTTTTCAATCTGCCAAAATTTAGATGCCCATAGCGGAAGTGCCATAGCCATGCCTCATCTTCTAATTTTATCGAGAAGCACGGACGAGTTGTGTTGTGGAGATAAAGTGGGAACATACGATTTTCTGTCATGTTAACTTGAGCAATTAAGCCCAACTTTGCATCTTGAATTTGACATACTCCATCTTTGATAAAAATCTCGTATCCTTTTTCTTGTAATTGACCCACACTAAACAAATATTTCCGATAGTATGGGTAGAATTTTCTTTGGTTTGGATTGTTACCTTTCCTTTTCCCATAACAAAAAGTTTGGAGTTGTCACCAAACTTAACAGAGCCGCGAAAGGATTCATCCAAGTCAGAAAATGCCTCATTCTCTCCACACATGTGGTTGCTGAAGCCAGTGTCAAAATACCACATGTTTTGTTGAGTTTCTTCCTTCATGTGACACACCGTCAAAAGAGACACCTCTTTTTCCTTTTCTGCAAAGTTAGGTTGATCTCCACTTCGTTTATTCAAATCAGTTTGACATTCTGATTTATAATGACCATTCAACATTGGACTTATCTGCTGACTTTGATCGAAAAGTTAATGAGTGGTAGCCTCTGTGTCCTCTGCCTCTTCCTTGAAATTGACTCTCTTGATGATGATTTTGTTGTTAGTTACCACAATCATTGTTGTTTCTGACTCCTCTATTTCGACCTCTACCTCTTCCTCTTCCTCTATCGACTCTACTATGTATGAAGTGATTTTTTGATAAGGTCTTCAATGCTTGTTCTTCTTTTTTCTGTTGGTTAATTTTTTGCTCATGAACCAACAAAGAACTTTGTAACTCATCAATTGACAGTAGACTTACATCATTAGCTTCTTCTATAACACAAGCAACAAAATTAAATTTTGGTGTCAAGGAACGAAGAATCTTCTCAACAATGAGAACATCCTTTGTCTTGCCGCCATGGATCTGCATCTTGTTAACGATTTTCATCGTTCTTAAAAAATAGTCTGTAACTGATTCTCCTGATTTCATTCGAAGTATTTCAAATTCTGAACGAAGTGCTTAAAGCTGCTGCCTCTTAGCCCTTGTTGTACCTTGGTACTTCTTCTTCATGGAATCTCAAATATTCTTGACTGTGTCTTTGTAAATAGTGGTTTCCAAGATTGAGCGATCAATAGCTTGGAAGAGATAATTTTTTTCTTTAAGGTCCTTTAACTTCAGCCCTTCAAGCTGTGTCTTCTGCGCATCTGTCAGTGTAACACCTGTCGTTGTTTCTGCTACTCCAGAAACAACAACCATCCAATATTCTTTGGACCTCGAGAAATTCTCCATGAACATGCTCTAATGGTCTTAGTGACCATCAAAGCATGGAATGGTTGGCTGTACAAAAGTTTTGGAAGCCATCAATTTCTCTTTTTCTCTTCGTGGAACTCACATTGCTCTGGTACCACTTCTTACAGTAGGAGATAAAATATGATTTTCTGGCTTATTTCATTGATAAACTAACAGCCTATAAATAGAAAAATAAATAACTGAAGGTAACAAGAAAATAGGCACTATCTAACACGTTCAGAATAAATTCTTATTAATTAGGTAAATTGAAACAAACTTATGACACTCCTAAAAACTAAGACAACCCAAACGTGCAAATTATTAAATTTTCTCAACAAAATTGTGGGTTCTTTAACTATTTCGAAAAGTGTTAATTACTCTGGAGTGTAAGCTACTGAACTAAGAAGTGCATAAAAAGAAAGATAAAGACATAAAAACTAAACAATAAAAATGCATAAAATAACTTGTTTGATTGATTCCACCACGTGTTAAGGGAAAACACTAATTTTACTGGCCAAATTGACGTGACATACATACATTAATCTTGTTCAACTATTTATGTCGGTGATGTGAGTCTTCTCACTATTACAAGTATGCGGCATCTCCCTATTAACCCGTTCCTCATATTTCTCAATATTTTCTATTTTATCTTGTCCACAAGTGTTCTATTTTCTAAAAGTGTAGTGTAGCTATGTGCTTTTAGCTTTATCTATAATATAACAAATTTTGATGATTTGGAAATCACCAAAATGACCTTTCTTCATTCTTGGCCACATCATGAAATGGTGACAATTAATGTCAACTTTTGCCTATTATCAACCACATCGTACGTCTGATTTGTTTCCAATGACAAATCTATTTCATGTAATATTAAAATGAAACAATAAATGAATTAGTTTGCTACCAAGTGTCTTTGTGCAAGTATGATTTGAAAGTACACCCAAACAGACTCAGTACTCCCCCAAGTTACCTCACTGTGTTGATAAGCCTGCTATTCATGTATCACTTTTGCGGTCATCTCTCTCTTCTTATCAACTTGTTACTTTCATCTCTCTCTTTTCATTCTTCAACTCACTCACCACCCTTCAACTTTCATCTCTCTCTTTGTTGTCTTCAACTCTCCATATCTGCTTTTAAAACTATCAAATGGGATTCCACTTCAAGATGACAAGACCGTTTGAGTTGGTGAAGGAAATCAATGCCACTAAGGAACTGTGAAAGATAGTTGTGCGAGTCCATCACAAATGGAGTGTTGTCTCAAAGAATAAGTAACACTTTGAGATGATACTGATTGATAAACAAGTAAGTATTTTGGAAAATATCAAAACAGACAAGTTTTGTTAAAACGTTTTCAAATAGTTTACAATTTTCCATTTTTAGAGTTTACATATTTGGGTTTCCAAGTATCTCTTTTATCCATTATTGTCTCATCTTTACCTTATTATTTCCTCGGGTCCTTTTTATAAAAAATACTTTATCTTTTTAGATTTATTAAATAATTAATGGTCCTTTTTATAAGAAATATTTTATCTTTTTAGATTTATTAAATAATTAATATATATGGTCTATGATACATATTAAGTATATTAATTATTTAATATATATGATCTATGATACAGACTAGGTGAATTGTCTCTTATAAAAAGGACTGCTGAGAGTATTTACTAAGTTCCATCTTTAATGTATTGTTTAGATATCATAAGTTAAAGATTTCAAGTTCTGTTGAACAAAATGATTTTACATGTTGGAACAAATCTATCAATACAGTTTGCATATGTATGTCTGCATTTTTGTGTTTGATGTTTGAATTGTTGTTTTATATTTGCATTAGTATGTTTGCATTTGTATGTTTGGTGTTTTATGTTTACTCTGTTTTTACTCACAAATATTTGATTTTATATGGCAAATCTTCTTCTCCATCTTCCTTCATACCCATAAATTATTATTATAGTTTCCTTTTTTATTTTAATAGGTAAAGAAATCATACATCAAGTTTAACAAATCTCAAAGATGCATTAAATATCAAATCTCTTTTTATGCATTTAAGTAACAAGGAGAATGCATCTTCATTTGAGATTTTGTCATTTCGATGACATTTTCGATAAAAAAGAAGTGGACACGTCGACACATCCCGTCTCATCCCCTAGAAATATCCAAAATTAGTACTTAATTGTACCACATAGAGATAACAAAAATTTAACAGGTACTACATGATATGCAAGCTGCAATACTCATCTTGGGATTGGTAAGTAGGAAGAAATTATTTAAGCCTTTCATATCAAACTAAATGCAATTATTTTATTTATTTTTACTGCCTATTTTACTTATAGAGAAAAGTTGACGGGGTGATTTGGAATCACTAGGCTATGTTCTTATGTACTTCCTCAGAGGGAGGTATTTCGTTCTTATATATATTGTCCTAACCTTACTATTATTGAAACCCCATGTTTTATTTTCAAGGTATTTGTTGTTATGTTTGAATGATAAGTGACTCAACTAATAGTTTGTTTCAATGTTTTAAAACTCAGACCGGTGATCAACTCGGTAAAGTTACTGGGTCACTGGGTTACTGGTCGGACCAGTGGGTCACTGGTCAGACCGCATGGTTTTTGACCCAATTTCTATAAAAAATATATTCATTACCTGAAATTTGTAACTATAATAATATAGAAAATTATAAATTCAAATAATTTAGAATAAACAAAAGTATTAGTAACAATCAAAATAAGTGATAGAAACTTAATGTAGCAAATTATAAATTCAAATAAGTGATAGAAACTTAACAATTCATAAGTTATAGTATTATAATAAGTCACAAAAATCCATGCTCAACGATCCATAATTTTTTATGTCCATGAAGTCAAATTGTCATAATCTTGATATTCATATCCATCTTCAACTTCATTGTCTTCTCCACCAACTTCATCTTCTCTGGTGTTGCTTTTTTCTTGATTCACAGTATCAACAATAGTATCTTGTGCATTACCCATATCCCCATCTTCATCTTCATCCTCATCTAAATCTATTTGATCTATAATAATATTTTAAAAAATAATTAACAAAAAAAATTTAAAGATGGTAAATATGAGACATTAAATTGATTCACAACCACAAACTATATTATGCTCATATTAGAATATACCAATATCACTTGAAATTGGTTGGACGGTCATATTTGCAAGGTCATTCTGCAATGCTTCCAACTCTTCATTGGTTAAGAGAGGTGGTGAATCCTCTAATACCCAACTAGAATGGTCGGCAATTGTTTCAATATTGATAGGATCATAACTCTCATTTCTTATTTTCCTAAGCACACATGAATTAAATCTAAGTATATATATATATTTAAATATAAAAATATAATGATCAGGGAAAAATAACCATAATAATACTGTTTACCTGGGGATTTGGTAAACAACCGCTGATCCTCCAAATGGTTACTTATTTGGTTACTCGCAGGATCGATCAGATTGATCCTATGGACATAGGTTGATTTTGAAGTTTAATTAGTGTGGATAAGGCTTTAAGTAAATTGGTTAAAGTAAATTGCATAAAGGAAAAGGCTTGGTAAAATAAACAAGGCTGGAATGTAAAGGTTCGACAGGAATCTTAAAGGGAAAAGCATGTAAAATACTGAAAAAGTAAATGACTTGAATTGATTAAATTGGTGTTTCACACATACATTTCTCAACAATTCGTTCGCTCACACTGGGTACTTGAATCTAAATGAGTGACTATGTATCTATTGTGAACACACGCGAGAAACTACACGTCTACTCCTATTTATACAAAAACATTCCAAGTAACCGTCGGGCAGTTACACTGCTTCGAGATCCAGCCACTTGTCACGTTCTCCATGCTCGACGCTCCAGATCCTTGCACGTTCGCACGTAGTAACTGCTGGAAACCGTTTTCCCTCCAAAGCTTTGAATTTCAAACTGCTCCACTCTGGACCATCGAACACGTTCGTCAAGAGACGTCTTCGACGAAAACTCCTTCGACGTCGAAGGCAATCAGCCTCCTTCCTTGGAAGAAATCTTCTAAGTATTTGGCCATCTTTCGACGGTCACTTCGACAAGCTTAGCCAGTCGAAAGCATCTTTCAGCTTTTAATGGCTGTCATCAATTGAAACAAAGGTGTCGAATTTAGGAGCCAACAAATTGCCCCCCAAGAATGCCTTATTTCGACTCTTGAAAAGAAAAAGGCATTCTTTGAAAACGCCATTCGACACCTGTTTGTCCACGCTGAGTCACAAGTTAACTTGTGCACTTTTTGTTGCTTTTTACCAACTATTGGCAATCCCAAGAAACCATCATTGATTTGATCCTAGGACGTCACTGTCAGTACGGCGTGCAGAGCCAAAACATCACTTCATAATTTGTCATTATGACAAATTCAAAAAACGAGGACGCACGCTGCGTCTCTCTGTTTCTGCAGAAACGGCCAAAACAACAGGATGCTGCCACGCGTCCCACTACTCCCTGCAGCATTAAATGACATTTAATGCCCTCGTTATTGGGAATTTCTCCCACTACTATAAATAGTAGTGAATATCCCATTGTGGGACTTTTCACGCAAACAATCTCTCAAACTTCCTTGCTTCCTTGCAAACTTGTTTCTCTTTGCAGAAAAACTCTTCCCTTTCCAACTTCATCTTCATCCTCAACAATGGCTTCTGCTTCAACTGCCCCCAAGACCAACGCACTAACTGAACAAATTGCTAGGCCCAAGGTTTTTGTAACCGCTCCGGTAGTGAACGCTACAGGGAAACGAAGGGTCCCTGAGCCATCTGATATCTCCGTCCGCGACGCTTACTCGCGTCACTTGATGATTCCGGTTGGATACTCCAACCAAATCTTCGCCATGGCTGGACCCATGAACCCCAGCATCTCTGAAGCTCTGAAGATCAAGAGCTACTTTCCCATTGTCGAGAAGCTCAAGCCAGTAGCTTGTGCTAAGAAGGATCCAGAAGACAACGAAGACCCCACACACGAGAAGATCGACCTTCGTTTCTTCAACAGAAGTGTTAGAGTTTTTAGGTCTTGCCCTAATCTCACCCAGGACTACGTTTCTTGGCTAACAAAGCTGGAAAAACATCAAACTCCAATCTGGAAGGAGATGGGCATCTTTGACCTAATAATGCTGTCGAAGACAGGTTTAAGCTATTCCCCAGAGATGCTTATAGCTTCAATGCTGTTCTGGGATAACTCTCACTTCACCTTTCACCTTCCATGTGGGATGTTAACTCCCACACTCTTCGACGTAGCAGCCATCACTGGCCTTCGACCAACCGGAGATTACTTCGACCCGGAAGAGATGTCGGAGGACCAAATTGGCTTTTCTGAGACGAAGCCAACATTCACCACCTTTATCAACCACTTCCATGACAAGTCGACAGACACAGTGTCCGACGTTGAACACATAGCGTTTCTAGCCTTATGGCTAACTCGCTTCGTGTTCTGTTCGAAGTCCCTGCAAGTGACCAAGAAGATGGTCACCCTGGCCACCCAACTGCATCACCGTCAGAACATCTGTCTGGCAGAACTAATTCTGGCCAGTCTTTATGACTCCATCAGCAATGGGGTTACTCTTTTGAAGCATATCGAAGATAGGAACAGTCTGCTACTCGCTGGGCCTTTCTGGTTACTTCAACTGTGGCTTAACGCCACTTTCGAGTCTTTCTTACCCAAGAAGGCTCCGATAAATGAACAAGCCTCAGCGATAGCTAACAGACGTATCGAAGGGATTAGGCTGGCTCTACTGACGCCTGTGGAAGATGGGCTAGAGTTCCAACAAACCTTCACTAACTTCGTGCTGATGTTCGCTCGAAGGAAGGAATTCGTTTCGACTATGGCTCCATTTGCTCAGCGAAAGGTGGGGCCAGCTTGGTTCACAAGGCCACATCCCAAGGAATCGAGTGGTCCCAATGTTGATGAGCACACCATACTGTGGGAGGCATTCCTTACTCCAAGGATTATGCCTCTTCGATTTAAAAGTTCTAAGACTCATCTGAGTCTGCTGGCCTATCAACCAAACCTGGTATCTCGCCAGTTTGGTATCATCCAAACCCTGCCTTCTCCCATTTTCCAAAAAGAGAAGTCAATGTTGTACTTCTGCAACGATTATACAGAAGATGCTGCTACCAAGCATATTGGAAGATATGCTGGTCGAACCATCCTCTCGCTGTTCAACTACCAGCTTAACTTCCTTTGTTCGCCATCTTTTGAAGAATGGTGGAGAAGCTATTACGCTGAGTACTTCTTCGACGAGAGGGACTTCACAGCAGAGTTGCAGAAGTCTTTTGTCCTCGTATTTGACAAAGTAAAGAAATGTAAGTTCATACTCTCACATTACTTTTTATCTTTCTCTTCGACTGTTAGCTTGTTAACTTTCCCTTTCGCTTTCAGTTGTTCGAAAACCTTTGGTCAAGAAGGCTCCAGGAGGCCCACAAGGAGGAGTCCCTTCGACCAAACCTCCACCGCCGGCGAAGACTATAGCGCCGGCGAAGACAACAGGCAACCAACAGGGGGAAGGCTCTTCGATGAGGCCTCCTGCATCGGTAACCAGATTTTCTTCATTTGCAATCTGGCTTTCGATTTTTTATTTTCGACGTAATTATTCAATCGAATTCCTATTGGTTTTATAGGCCCCTTCGCCCAAGAAAAGGGCAACCTTGGTGATCGAATCGGGGAGTGACGACGACAGCGACGCCCCTCCTACTCCCTTAAAGAGGAGAAAGTTAACGAAGGACGCTTCTGTTCCTACTCCAGCTCCTGAAGGTCGAACCGTCAGAATAAAGGTTGGTGCAAGAAAGCCTAGGCCACCTGCAGTGGTCATCGAAGAACCAACTGAGGAGGAACTGAACGCTCTAGTTAACAATCCTGTCGAAAGTGATAATTCCAGCCCTGGGGCTGAAGCCAATCCACAGGTAATCTATTGACCCTTCTTGTAACTTAGGCATAAATACCAGTATTGATTATATCTCTTTCGACATCTGAAGATTTGTCTTCTTCCTCTTTTTCAGGAAACTACTGGAAGTTCCCCACCAAGGACTTCAGAAACTCTGGAATCTGCTGACCTTAGCAGGCCTCAGGTGCAAGATTTGGGTAATGACGAAGCCCACACTGAGCATGAGGCCAATGCTGAAACAGTGGAGAAGACAACTGAAGAACCTATGGCGGAGGAAACACAGCCAAAAACGGTTCCTGTGGTGGTCTTGTCGTCAGAAGAGAATCCTGAGGGAAG